TCTCTTAAAGCTAAATCAAATACTTGGAAAATGAGTGAGAGTGAGAGGATTAATTAGTATCATCTCTGATGATGTGGACTAATTATTTATTTGATTTTTTATTTTTTGTTGTCTTTTTCTACCTCATTAGTGATGGATTAGAGCTTTACCGAATTAGAGGTTTCTAGCATACTTTAGAGGTTTCTAGCATACTGCAAACAGACCATGGTTTTACTAGTCTTTGTTCAGTAAGTGCGCACTTGAGCCGAAAAAAAAAAATATATATATATATATACAATAATACATATTTTTGTAGGTTAGACCATCTTTATTAAGCCTTCGTTTGGGAAGTGGGTTAGTTAAGGCGAGTAATTTGAGTTGTAAATCTCTCTGAATATTGTTTTTTATTTTATTTTTATATTTACATTAAGAGATTTGGTTTTGTGTTGCAGCTTTGTTATCTGTATCCAGATTTGTGTTTTAGGGTTTTTCTTATATCTTTCCAATATTGCTTACTGGTGTTTTTACTTCACCGGTGTCCTACTTTTTATCCAGAAATTTCTTGTGTATCCAAGAAGATATACCAAGTTTGAATGTGCAGTGAAATGTAGTCATGATCCAGTGGTTTTGTTGGAACGAGTATTTGTTGGGCTATTTTGCTTTAAAATAGGGGAATTAGGGAAAAAGTGGTAATTGGGTCTTTGAACCAAAAAGAAAAAAGAAAAAGAAAAAAACAACTTTGATTATGGAAAAAGGGATATAAGTGGATGCCATGTTTGGTTTGCTTTTGAGCGAATGACTTTTAAACGTTTTGGGAGATTAGTTTAGAAATTTTTTAAGCTTGTTTGGTTGCATATTTTAAAAGTGATTTTAAAATTTGGGAATTTAAGATAATTTGATATTTTGTTATAATTGAATAGATGTGTGAAAAAAAAAGTAATTGATTGAATTGTAAGAAAGAAAAGTGATTTTGAAATTTTTTTAAAAAAAATCTCAAACTGAACATTTTTTTGAATTTTTTTTTTTTCAAAACTCTCTTAAAGCTAAATCAAATACTTGGAAAATGAGTGAGAGTGAGAGGATTAATTAGTATCATCTCTGATGATGTGGACTAATTGTTTATTTGATTTTTTATTTTTTGTTGTCTTTTTCTACTTCATTAGTGATGGATTAGAGCTTTACCGAATTAGAGGTTATACTGCAAACAGACCATGGTTTTACTAGTCTTTGTTCAGTAAGTGCGCACTTTGAGCCGAAAAAAAAAATATATATATATATATACAATAATACATATTTTTGTAGGTTAGACCATCTTTATTAAGCCTTCGTTTAGGAAGTGGGTTAGTTTTTTGATTTTTTGACTTTTTTAATTATTTTAGCATGAGTTAAAAAGTTTGGTTTGGGAAGGGTTTTTTGATTTTTTAATTTTTTTGACTTTTTTTGTGTGAGAAGAGTGTAATGATTATGAGTTGGATGTGATGTTTTGTTTTTTGTGACTAAAATAACTTATTTTGTCTTTTGTGACTAGAATAGTCAAAAAAATCCGGAAAAGTCCTTCCCAAACGGACTTGAAGGCCTAGTTTGAGAAGATTGAAAAAATACAAAAAGTCAAAAAATTACTATCTTACTTATATTATCTTATTTAAGTCACATCATCTCTCTAATAAATTATTAAACTCAAACCCAATTCATATTTCATAAAAAGTCAAAAAGTGTACTTATTTAGTCTTTCTAAACTTGACCTAAGTTTATTAAATCTATTATTAAATTTAAACTTAATAAAAAAATCATTTTATGTTCTTTTAATGGTGATCAATGTGTTTTTTTATTAAATTATTATTTATTGGATCTTCACAATTTGATATCTTTCTAGATGTTATAAGACACAAATTTATCAAAAAAATTACACTTCTCAGTTGTTCGTCTGTATAGTTTGTCTGCTTAGTCGATCGATAATTTGAAGAATTACAAAATCTTCGATTGAAACTTTTGATATGAAAAGAAATTTGTATTCAAATTTTTATTTAAATTTAATAAAAAAATTGATATACCGTCGGAGATACTCATAATAACTTAAATGAACATATAATCTTCTTTATCTCTAGACGCCTCTTTCACTTATACTATTATTTGGATTTGATTAAGGGTTAGTTTGGAATGTGAGTTGATTTTTTTAGCTTTTTTAATTTGAGGCTAAAAATTTTTATTTGGAATAGATTTTTTGATTTTTTAAATATTTTTGAGAGAAAAGTAAAATTATTATAGTTTGGATATGATATTTAATATTATTGGGCTAACAATTTATTTTGTCTTTTGTATTATTTTAACCAAAAAAATCTCCGTATAACTAATTATATAATATGTAAGACCATCTCTAACGGTGAACCAAACTTTGCATCAGATTTGAAATTTGGTGAAAAAAATCACTTTTTGGAGCTCCAATGGTTTCGCCAAATTGGTATCAAAATAAGAATGAAACAAAAAATTCATCAAAGTGAGAACATGCTCCAAATTTCATCATTTTTCACTGTGCGTTACCGTTGAAGTGGGCCAACCGGTCGATTGGTTCCCTTTCAAATAGATAGGTTTAAACCGGTCAAAAAAGTTCAAACAGGTATAAAAAAAAAAAAATTTGCCTTACCGGTCGACTGACTGGTCAACCAACCGGTTGACCACTTCCCTTTTCATAGCAAATGATATCAGTCAACCAACCGGTTGACCACTTCCCTTTTCATAGCAAATGATATCAGATTGAGAAAATTAACTTTACTTTATTCAAATTTAATAAAAATTTTAATTCACCGTTAGGAATGTTCTAATATTACTATTTATTAATAAAAAGGGAAATGTAAAGCTTTTAAACCTTTGCCAAGTGTGGCCGCCATTGTGAAAAAAAAAAAAAAAAAAAAAAAAAAAAAAAAAAAAAGTGTGGCCGCCATGATGGGGGAAAGCTCACAAGTCAACACATCTCTGCATAATAAAACGCAGCTTTCAAAGAAGAGTTCTTGTTTGTGATGGTGATTTTCTTGAAATTTTAGTAATGTGAATGTAGTATTCTTCGCTGACCAAATTTATGTAACAAATTTCAAGAGCACTAGTTTGTAAATTTATTTATTAAATTTTGAATAATATTTGACGCCCATTGCAATTTATAAGTGCTTTGATATAAGATAAGGAAAGCGAAATTAAGAAGTTTTTTTATAAAAATAGTTAAAAGTTGACTTTTTAAATGTTTTATTTATTTATTTTTTAAAAAATGTGTAAAAAATATGAAAAATCATATAATTCAAAATAAGTTAAAAATTGAGAATTAACTTCTAATCCATTTCTAAAAGGAGACCTAAACCAATAGTAAATGCTTATTATTAATGTGTTTGTATAAGACAAAAAACGATCTGGCCATTAAATTAAAAGAAATGCTAATAATTAACTCCATTGAAGTTTCAATAGAAGAATTGTACTAATGAGTTCTCATACAAAAATAATATTTGAAAATATTTTTAGTTTTATTTTTATTTTTAGGAAATCTCACAGTAATAGCGCAAAAATAGATTTTACTCTCAACAAGGGCTCCGTCTTTAACATTGGGTAAATAAAATGTTATACTTGTTTTAGCAAATCTTCCTTGATGGTGCAAAGATCATTTTACCCTTACAATGGCCATTTCTCCACACAAAAAATAAAAAATAAAAAATTAAAGGGCCCACTAAACTATTTCTATAACCATTATTATTATTATTATTTTCCTCTAAAACAACAGAAAAAGTAATTGGCAAACTCTACTTGTTAAAGATAGGGTTGAGCACAAGTGTTGCCTTGTCAAAAAAAAAATAAATAAATAAATAAATTTAAGTCCTAACGCTTCATTTGCTAGAGTTTGATGAGATTAGACTATTTCATGCATCTTTGGTTTTTTATTTTTATTTTTTCAAAATTGAAAACGTGCCCAACAACTCACACATACACATTGTCAAATTCCTACTACTCCAAAGGTTTTAAGAGAGAGGGGTGTGCTAAGTTAAAGTTGGTCAAATGAAATTTCAAATCAAACCAACCCAAACACTATTGGTCTCGTTTGGTAAAACCTAACTTCAAAAAACAGTAAATTGGACCGATATTAATACAACAAACTTTTGATTACGTTAATTTTTTTCATAATGACAAAAACAATAATGTTAAAGACCAAGAAAAGTAATTATGATTCAAATTCAACTATTGTATAGTAAAATTCATACATATTAACATTAATAATAACTAATTTACTTTTTTAGGCTTACATATTATATTTTTCATTTGTGACCCAATGGTTTAGGAGTCGCACCTTAATGTGTGGCGAGTTGAAAGTCAAAAATTCGAGCTAATAGGGAGTAGCAGCAAACCTTTTAATTGTTATTTAACTATACTAACATATTAATGCTATCTTTGACACCCCCCTTCCAAAAAAAAAAAAAAAAAACATATGACAAGATTATCCTATTCCACCACATAATACTCTTTTCCTACCGCACGCCACTGCAACTTCAAATTATTAAGAATATGTTTGGATCGTAAATTTAAAAAAATAATAATAACAAAATAAAATATAAATATATTTCATTTATATTTTACTTATTTTTTTACTTTTTCTCTCTAAATCTCTACCAAAATTTATGATCAAAATACAATATAAAGATTACCAAAGTTAGAGAGCGAGAGAACTATTAAGTAAGAATTGAAAATATTAATAGGACCAATTGTATTCAATAGTTAATTCCTTTCCAATGCTATTTTAGTTAAATTGCAATTTTCATACGAAAAAATATCGAGACTCACAATTTAAGTTCCACAGTCTCTGCAATAACATGACAAGTTATGTGACAAGTTATGATTTGTTATAAATTAAACCACGTAAAATTCAATTTACTAGCCATGTTATTGTGAATGAATTGTGAGACTTAAATGTTGGTCTCCAGCATTTCTTGCCAAGGGGGCATGCTAAGGGATGAATGAATGTCCTCCAAAATTGACACTTGATCTAAATAAAATAAAATAAACAATGGCCATTTCATGTTATTTGTCAATGTGGTTGCATTTCAGTTATGCATACCCATCACAAACTTTATTTTCTCAAATCAATTTTACTTCAGCTAAGCTAAGGTTTCTTTCAACATAAAAAAAGAAGAGCAAAGTACAAGCTTTTCCTTGTAGTTTTTACAATTAAAAAAAATTCATAAAACTCCGTGCAAACTCAAAATTCACCTTTTGTGAATTAGGGAAGAATCCCAATATACTTGAGAGTCAAAAAAATAAAATGCATGAGACACTCCCTCTACAAGATCATCCCCTTCATAATTCGTTCCATCAATCTTCTGAAAACCTGTAGCACATGAGCTATTACAATGAGCAATCTTAACACGAAAGAAATTCAATCGACACAGAAAAGTGGGGGAAGTTGAAATAAATTAAATAAAGAATGCATTATAATAAACAAACTCAGTCAATCATAAATAAGGGAAAATTTAGCTGCCATGGGGAGCTGAAAGAGGCACAGCTGAGATGTGAGCAAGGCTCTTGCCTTGTACACCTTGTTCAATCATCTCATTTGTTTGTTTGCATTGATATCAGCCATCGATTTTTGAAAAACAATTTCATCAGACATTGATTTTATTTATTATTTTTATGTGCAGCCACAATGGAAGAATGCATTTAGCTATACAGACAAATTGGAAGGAAGTGTATTCATTCTAATGCAACAAATTCAATGCATCAAGGATCAATTACTGTTTTTGGGGACCTAAACCACCATACAACAACCAGCTGAGGCATCATCTAGAATTATTTAAGGTGTTTTGACAATTGAGAGCTATTGATAATTGCTTTAGAATCAAGTAAAGATAATTATGGGCATTAAAATGACCAGACTTACAGTATTCATTCTTGTGTGAAAATGCCAAAAAAGTCCCTGCTGATGGGTTGCTGTAATTAGACTTGATACAATTATCAGTTTCCCTCTCTTGGGTAAACACCTTTAAGTTATTCGCATGCATCAACTCCAAATTCGTGGATGTTAATTGCAATTCTTTTTTTTTCTTTTTTTTTTTTTATAATTATGAGTATGCATTCTACATGTGTGACATTTCTGAAATAGATGACTGAGTTTTTACATGACAGTAAATGCAACAAAGAATTGATAGACAAAAATATAGCACATATTTATGATTGCAACGATCATATTAACATGTGAAGAATTGAAACCGATTTTACCCATGCACACTGTTCTTTGTTTTATTTTCGATTTTCCCCAGCTCAAAAACTCTATAAACAGGAAGCATTTCAGTAAAACATAAAACCATGTGACATTGCTAAATAGAACCCTGTCAGCATTACTTTCTTAAAAACAAATGTGATTACAGTAAGGGGTGGTTTGGAATGTTCTAAATAAGTGTACTTTTTGACTTTTTATAAAAAGATGTGTAAAAAAATAGAGAGGAGATATTGATTGATGTGACCCAAAAAAGATAAAAAGATGGACTAAAATAGGTTATGCCAAACAAGGCTTAAGTTATTGTTGCTTTGATGATCTAAATGCCCCTATCACTTTTCTTCTTCTCCCATGTGTTGGAATTTTTTGCAAGCTTTAACATCAGTTTGTTGGAAGTTAGAGGTGTCAATACACACACAAACAGTTGGGTAGAGAAGCAGGTAGAAGATAACAGACTCCACTAGTTCATTCTTCATCACAATGGCCAAAGTACATTGATATTTATAGGCTCTAACAACAAGCACCTAGGCATGTCATTTTAACAAAGTATTCAATCTACTCACAACCCATACCAACAGATATAAACTTCTAGGATGACTCTTCAGTTAATACATGAAACACTCCATATATGTATGATGTGTACAGAAATTTCTAGAATTGAAACATAACTATTAGAAAGTACCAAAATCATGTTTAATTTCAAACAGCATGGAACCCAAAGCTTCTTGAGTAAAAAAACACACATACCTTACTGTTCTGGATGCAGCAAGGATCCATTCTCTATATTAGCATCTAAATTCCAGCCTCTGAAAACATAAAATAAAAATTTTAATAATTTCATACCCAAACTAGCAATGCCCAAAAACAAAAACCAATCTAAAAGTTAACTTACCTCTCTGTAGCTTCTCTCTTCATTTCTTCAATATGATTTTCAATTTTAGCACATGCTGTTTGTATTTCTATGTTTTTCTCACACAGTTCCTTCCACTGTGCCGATAATGCATTAAGCTCGTATGCTGTGTTTTGCTGATATCACATGGAGAAAGCATATTAATCAGAAAGTGCATGAACAGAATGGAAACCTAAACAGATGTCTCAGAAATTTTAATGACCTGATGATACTTCCTTTCACGATTCACGACTTCTATCTTTTCATTCAGTTCCACAGCTTGTGATTGCATTCTGTAGAAAAATAGTGTATTAAAACTACGAAGAGAATGAACAGAAGCAACTATAATCATTGCACTAAGAGCCCAAAGCAACATCTACGTGAACACTTAAAACTTTGATTCGTCAACTTAATGCAAGGCAGAAAGGTCGGAAGTATATGCAAATGGGAAATGGAAGAATGGAAAATGACTAAACCTTTAATTGGAGGCCACCTGTCAGATGCAACACTTTCTTCTTTCTCAAAAGCTTTAGTGTTAACACATATTTGGCCCCACAGCATGCTGAGATGTACTAGTTTAACCTTTTCTCATTATTTCGGTCATTAACATGTAAATCACATACATGGTGCTATGCTTTTTTATGTACCCTTTGAAAACTGCTATATTCTCTAGCTTCAATAAAGCTTATTGTGATCAATGGAATTGTTTCATCTACCTGTGTCAATTCGTTGTATGCCAACCATGTCTGGCTACTAAACAAGAGAAAAGAGACAATAAAAATAAAAATAAAGCCTCATATACATCTCAGATAAAAAATGCTTCAGGGGATTGATCACTCTAGAAGTCCAATTATAAAAGAGAAGCAAAGTCTACTCTTCAACTTGAAGAGTGTTTCATGCCTTAAAAAAAGACCTATGGTTCCACTCTCCCCAAGTAATCCACATCAAGCATACGGAAGCTAGCAGCCAAGCTTTTTCCTTTCTCTTCCCAACTCTACCCTCTCTCCAACTACACAAAAGATCCCCTAACACACCCAGGTAAAACACAATGCATTCCAAACACCTCTATAATCAAACCCCAAAGCTCTCTAGCGACATGACAGTGAATAAGAAGATGGCCAACAAATTCCCCATCTTGTTTACACAAACACCAATTAACAAAAATAGAATGTCTACCTACCAAATTATCAATGGTAAAGATTTTCCCACAAGTTGTCATCCATACAAAACCACAAGTTAGATGAGGCACTTGGCAAGAAAACTCCTCTCCAAGCTTCTCCAAGGAAAAGAAATTCCACCATACCGACCAAAGCTGCATAAAATTATTACCGTTAAAAAATTCCTAACTTGGATCTCAACCATCTCATAACACCCTCCCCCTTTGTAATTTTCATGATATTATAAATCTACCTGAAAGGTCAATTAACTCTTCTTCCTCCCAATCATGAAGGTTGCCTCTAAAAGAAATATGCCAAACACAATAATTGCCCTCCTTACGAAGGTAGTCTAACAATGAAGCCTCCTTATCGCTGGAAGAACTCTTAAAACAACCAGAAAGGTTGTTATCTCAGGCATCTAGCCTCATCTAAATGTCAACATGATTACATAAAACACATTTGATTATACCAAGTAAACGCTGCAAGCTATAAAACATCTTACGATATGCAATATATGGTTTTGAGCTCTGGAATGGACAGGTTCAAACAAACTTACGTAAATTGGTGACTAAAGCAAATGGTTAAGTCTGCCTTCAAATCAAGAAATGAAAGAGACTCTTCATAAGAAATAAAATAAAATACCTGGACAAGAATGCCTCCAGTCGTTGGTTGTGTTGTTTCCAGACATCAACACCATGTTTTGACATTAGATCCAAATTTTCTAGCCTGCAACATTAACCATGCAAGTTTCAGCACCTGATTTGAGGAGGGAAAGAAGCAAGAGAGGTGAAAGAACAAAAGACACAACCAAGAGACAACCAGAGAAGATATGAAGTAAGAGGAGCAATGATTTATCTTTGAATATCAGACTTGAGTAATTCAGATGACAGCTATGAAGCATGGGTACTCCAAAAATGTTGCTGTACAAGTACCGGGTATTTACCGAGTGCGGATACACGTACTGGGTGTGCAAAAAATGCACCGGGTATGTTTTATACGATCAGTATAGTAATGGGCACGCCATGGGTACGTTTTTGGATACTCCGGGGTAAAAAACGTGATTTTTTATAAATAAAAGGGTACCGGAGCAATTTTGTGTCTATTTTAAAAAATTATAAAAATCTGGAGTTCTTTTGTAATAAATAAAACATGAAATCAAATAAAATTAGGATTCTATTATTCTATATCATTCGATCATCTCATCTCCTTCCGGTTTCTTCTTCCGAAATACTCAAGGTTTTAAAAAGCGGCCGCAACCGTTACGTAACGCCGTTACGTAACGGTTTTAGCGGTTACCGCCACCCGTTACGGCCGCTTTTGCAGTGTGATTGAGATTCACAGGTGTGTCGGCATTAGCGGCTATCGTTGCGGTCGTAACAGTGCTGTAACAGCCATAAAGGCCTGTTTCGCACCGTTACGTAACGGTTCCAAACTGTTTCTTTCTAAAAAACACACAAAAAAAAACTGAAAATGGGAGAAGAGTGATAGAGAGAAGAGGGAAGATAAATAGAGAAAATAGAGGAGCAAGAGATAGAGAGAGAGAGAGAGAGAGAGAGAGAGAGAGAGAGAGAGAGAGACGAGGGAAGATGAAGAACATGTTATTGATTTGTTGAAACTACAAGACCTATGCTATTCTATTCAGCTGCTATCACTAAACCATTTTGTTTGTGTGTGTCTATCTATATATTGTTTGAAAATAATAATAATAATAAGTGTGGTTATTATCTATTTGGCTTGGTTAAAATATGTATATATACTATATATATATATATATATATTTAGGCTCTTATTTATTCTCTTACTTTTGTTATTATTTATCTTATATATAATAGTTAGTGATTAATTTTTTGTAAAATATAAAGTCATTAATTATTAAAATAAAATGTAAAAAACTCAGTTTATACTGATTTAAAAATATGAAATATATTGGATCATACTTAAAAATTTACAAAAATTGATCAAAATTTATTTTTAACCCAATAAATATGATCATGGAAAAAAAATATGCGTATCGGTAAGTTTTTTTCAAATTGTGCGAAAAATAAAAAAATTCACTGTTCCGGTTACCGCAACCGTTACACTACGGCATTTACACCCCGCAACCGCAACTGCGTCACCGCCACCATTACGGCGACCGCAACCGCTTTTCAGAACGTAAATACTCCAAGACTGAAGAACTTTGAAGGTGCTAGGGTTCCATGTCTATTTGATCATCTCTTTCCAAAAATACTCCCAAGAGAGTTTGAAGAACACTTCGAATGTGCGATTGAAAGGTTTAATCGAAGGTGCGATTGAAGAGGTAAGTTCATCTTCGACTCTTCCCCCTCTTCTTCTTTGATTCTTCATCCTCTTTCTTTCATTTTTTTGTCCAGATTTTTGTGCTGTTTATCGATTTTTCTCCTCTCTTTGATTTTCTCTTTCTTTGATCCTTCTTCTTCTTCATTTTTCTTGAACTCCCTTTTTTTATTTTCTTTTTTTCTGATACATGTCCAGATTTTTGAACTACTAATTTTTTTTCCCCTGATATATGTCATATATATGTGCAATATGATACTTGTCACAGGAATATATATTTTATTCAATATATGCAATATATTAGATCTGTCCAAATTGTTATTTAAATATTTGATGAGCAAAAGAACGATTTTAAAAATAAATTATGATCACAGATTCACAGTGCATAACATGTCAAAGTGAGAGATTTTACTAATATTATTTTTGATGCTTAATGGTTTTAAATTATAGAAAAATGAGTTCATCAAGCAGTTTAGGTTCATCTGCAAGTGCTTCTTCTGCTACTTCCATTGATCAATCTGGAGATGAAAATGCTCCTCTTTGGGGCTATGTTACAAAATTAGTCAAAAGGGGGGAAGGAGGAAGTGGTAATACAAAATTGAAATGTAATTTTTGTAACATTGAGTACCAAGGGTTATATTCTAGAGTTAGAGCCTATTTGTTGCTACTTACTAGCCATGGAATTAGAGTGTGTGCAATTGTGAAGGACAAAGAGCGATATTCTTTCTGAAATTCAAAAGGTAGATTAAGAAGCTGAGAACCGGAAAAAGATGGCAAAGCCAAAAAATGTTCCTTTACCACCTCTATCTTCTCAAATTAGTACTAGCCACGGCGGCGTAGGAGATGTTGGAACATTTAGATTGGAAGGTTATGCACCAAGAAAGAGAAAGGCAGTTGGGAGTAGTCCTTTAGATAAGGCATTCAATCAAAGTGCCAGAGAACATTTATATTCTTTAATTGCTCGTATGTTCTATTCAGCTAGTTTGCCTTTCCATTTGGCTAGGAATCCATACTTTGTGGGTGCTTTTCAATATGCTGCTGAGAATCAAATTATTGGGTATGTCCCTCCTAGATATAATTTGTTGAGGACTACCTTACTTCAAAAAGAAAGGACAAATATTGAAAGGTTATTGGAACCAACTAAAAAGTCATGGGATAAGAAGGGATTGAGTATAGTATCTGATGGATGGACTGATGCACAAAGGAGGCCTCTTATTAATTTTATGGCAGCATCTAATGGTGGAGCTATGTTTACAAAAGTTGTTAATTGTGAGAGTAAGACCAAGGACAAGTATCATATTGCCAAATTAATTAGTGAAGTGATTGATGAAGTGGGCCCGCATAATGTGCTTCAAGTAATTACTGACAATGCTCCTGTTTGTGGTGCATCTGGATCAATAATTCAAGGTAATTATCCGAAGATCTTTTGGACACCTTGTGTAGTGCACACTCTTAATCTTGCTCTTAAAAACATTTGTGCTGCAAAGGAAATTAAAGTTGCTGCATATGCTTATGATGAATGCCATTGGATCACTACTGTGATTGATGATGCAATGCTTGTAAAAAATTTCATTATGAATCATTCTATAAGATTAGCTATTTTTAATAAGTTTGTACTTTTGAAGCTACTTTTTGTTGCAGATACACGCTTTGCATCTGCAATTGTTATGCTAAAAAGGTTTAAACTTATATATCGTGGTCTCCAAACAATGGTGATAAGTGAGAAATGAGCTTCCTACAAGGAAGATGATGTTGGGAAAGCAGCTGTTGTAAAGGAAAAGTTGTTGAATGATATTTGGTGGGACAAGATTGAATATATACTCTCATTCACATTGCCTATTTATGAGATGCTCAGATTTTGTGACACCGATGAGCCATGTCTACATTTGGTTTATGAGATGTGGGATTCAATGATTGAACGAATGAAGGCATCCATCTATAGGCGTGAAGGGAAGTCAGAAAATGAAGAGTCGTCCTTTTACTCTGTAGTGCATCAAATATTAGTGGAAAGGTGGACAAAAAGTAGCACACCTCTTCATTATCTTGCTCATTCTTTGAATCCAAGGTATAATTCACTTTCATTGCATAATTTACTTATTATTTTTTTCTAATTATGAAATCAAGGTATTATAGTGGGATGTAGCTCCATGAAAATCCCATTCGTGTTCCTCCTCACAAAGATGTTGAATTTCCTGAGACGAGAATCAAGTATTTTAAGAGATACTTTTTTGATTCAGATGAGAGAAGGGTTGTTAATACAGAGTATGCTAAGTTTTCAGGTTGCTTAGAAAGTTTTGGAGACTCTAACTCAATATGTGATAGAGGAGTAACGGAACTAGTGGTTTGGTGGTTGGCACATGACTCTTTTGCACCTATGCTCCAATCCTTGACAGTGAAATTACTTAGCCAACCATGTTCCTCATCATGTTGTGAAAGGAATTGGAGCACCTACTCTTTCATTCACTCTATGAAGAGGAATAAAATGACATAACAACGGTGCGAGGATTTGATTTTTGTGCACTCTAATATTCGTCTCTTATCAAGAAGGAGTCAACTATACACAGAAGGAGAGACCAAGTTATAGGACATTGGGGGAGATGCATTTGATTCATTGGAGGGTTTTGGTTTCCTTGAAATTGCAAATCTTTCATTTGATGAGCCAGAGATGGAAGCTATTTTATTCAATGATGAAGTTGATGGAAGTGAACTTGGAAGTGTCAAGTTTAGATACGTAGGGCTTTCTTTTGTTTTTTCCTTTGCTTGCATTATGGACTGAATTGGCATTGTTGAATTGAAATATATTAATATTTGTCTTTTAGTTTTGTAATTCTCTTTTTAGTTTTGATCTTTAATTTTAATTTGTAGGTTAGATCCTTTAACCATAATTATAAATAAAAATAAAAATAAAAAAAAATATCGACATACCGCAGCCGTATCCGTATCATAGTTTTTTTGAGTTTTGCCGTATCGGCGTACCCGCACTCATACCCACACCCATGCTTCCTAGGATGACAGTAATCCAAAGCATGCCCCTTCATGCACATTACTGCACCTTCCGTAAAACTTTTTCACATTACCCTCCCTAACATTGTTCATCCCTACAGTGTGGCTATTAAATTTACAACATAATATGATAAAATAGGTATTGTCTAGAGAACTTCTGCAACTAATTCTAGAAATCCTGCAACCTATATCTTTTGAGAATCAAGTCAAAACAAAACTTTTTCCATCTAAAAAACCCGACAAGCCTTTTCCGTCTTATAAAACCCTACAAAAGCAAGTTTCCATAATAGACAAAACCCACCACAAAATCCTCTCGTAGGCAGCTCAGGACTTAGTTTCATAATATGTCCTACATCACCTTCATCATGCCAGAAGCAACTGGGCAGTAAATTAGCCTTCTATAATCATACAAAAATGTTACCTGATTACTTGATGTTGTAGTAAACGTTGAGCTTTCTGCAGTGCCTGCTTCCAAGCAGATTCATCATTCCGTTTGTTCATAGACGGCGGTTCAAGTCCATATCGCGACATATCAAGTGGCACTGGAGGTTTCCCAGCTCTAACCCGCTCATACTCTCTGGCAAGCATTGGATGGTTCTGAAATATAAGTTCCAAAATAAGAGATGCTCCAACATGTTCTTCACCTCACATATTGTGTACTAACTAACCATTAGCATTAGCATTGATTAAAAGACCCAATTTCATACACCATTAAAATAAGTCAGCAAATCAAATCAGTAACTAAAAATCTAGTAGTTTTGAGCTCTGGAATGGACAGGTTCAAACAAACTTACGTAAATTGGCGACTAAAGTAAATGGTTAAGTCTGCCTTCAAATCAAGAAATGAAAGAGACTCTTCATAAGAAATAAAATAAAATACCTGGACAAGAATGCCTCCAGTCGTTGGTTGTGTTGTTTCCAGACATCAACACCATGTTTTGACATTAGATCCAAATTTTCTAGCCTGCAACATTAACCATGCAAGTTTCAGCACCTGATTTGAGGAGGGAAAGAAGCAAGAGAGGTGAAAGAACAAAAGACACAACCAAGAGACAACCAGAGAAGATATGAAGTAAGAGGAGCAATGATTTATCTTTGAATATCAGACTTGAGTAATTCAGATGACAGCTATGAAGCATGGGTACTCCAAAAATGTTGCTGTACAAGTACCGGGTATTTACCGGGTGCGGAAACACGTACTGGGTACGCAAAAAACGCACCGGGTATGTTTTATACGATCAGCATAGTAATGGGTACGCCATGGGTACGTTTTTGGATACTCCGGGGTAAAAAACGAGATTTTTTATAAATTAAAGGGTACCGGAGCAATTTTGTGTCTATTTTAAAAAATTATAAAAATCTGGAGTTTTTTTGTAATAAATAAAACATGAAATCAAATAAAATTAGGGTTCTATTATTCTATATCATTCGATCATCTCATCTCCTTCCGATATCTCCTTCCAAAATACTCAAGGTTTTAAAAAGCGGCCGCAACCGTTACGTAACACTTTACGTAACACCGTTACGTAACAGTTTTAGCGGTTACCGCCACCCGTTACGCCGCTTTTGCAGTGTGATTGAGATTCACAGGTGTGTCGGCCATAGCGGCTATCGTAGCGGTCGTAACGGTGCTGTAACAGCCATAAAGGCCTGTTTCGTACCGTTACGTAACGGTTCCAAACTGTTTCTTTTTAAAAAACACACAAAAAAAAGCTGAAAATGGGGGAAGAGGGATAGAGAGAAGAGGGAAGATAAAGAGAGAAAATAGAGGAGCAAGAGATATAGAGAGAGAGAAGAGGGAAGATGAATAACATGTTATTGATTTGTTGAAACTATAAGATTTATGCTATTCTATTCAGCTGTTATCACTAAACCATTTTGTTTGTGTGTGTCTATCTATATATTGTTTGAAAATAATAATAATAATAAGTGTGGTTATTATCTATTTGGCTTGGTTAAAATATGTATATATATATATATTTAAGCTCTTATTTATTCTCTTACTTTTGTCATTATTTATCTTATATATAATAGTTAGTGATTAATTTTTTGTAAAATATAAAGTCATTAATTATTAAAATAAAATGTAAAAAACTCAGTTTATAGTGATTTAAAAATATGAAATATATTGGATCATACTTAAAAATTTACAAAAATTGATCAATATTTATTTTTAACCCAATAAATATGATCATGGAAAAAAAATATGCCTATCGGTAAGTTTTTTTCAAATTGTGCGAAAAATAAAAAAAATCACTGTTCCGATTACCGCAACCGTTACACTACGGCCTTTACACCCCTCAACCGCAACCGCGTCACCGCCACCGTTACGGCGACCGCAACCGCTTTTCAGAACCTAAATACTCCAAGACTGAAGAACTATGAAGGTGCTAGGGTTCCATGTCTATTCAATCATTTCTTTCCAGAAATACTCCCAAGAGAGTTTGAAGAACACTTCGAAGGTGCGATTGAAAGGTTTAATCGAAGGTATTGCTGATTGATTCTCTCCTTCGAATGTGCGATTGAAGAGGTAAGTTCATCTTCGACTCTTCCCCCTCTTCTTCTTCGATTCTTCATCCTCTTTCTTTCATTTTTTTGTCCAGATTTTTGTGCTGTTTATCGATTTTTCTTTCATTTTTTTGTCCAGATTTTTGTGCTGTTTATCGATTTTTCTCCTGTCTTTGATTTTCTCTTTCTTTGATCCTTCTTCTTCTTCATTTTTCTTGAACTCCCTTTTTTTCTTTTCTTTTTTTCTGATACATGTCCAGATTTTTGAACTATTGATTTTTTTTTTCCTGATATATGTCATATATATATGCAATATGATACTTGTCATTGGAATATATATTTTATTCAATATATGCAATATATTAGATCTGTCCAAATTGTTATTTAAATATTTGATGAGCAAAAGAACGATTTTAAAAATAAATTATGATCACAGATTCACAGTGCATAACATGTCAAAGTGAGAGATTTTACTAATATTATTTTTGATGCTTAATGGTTTTAAATTATAGAAAAATGAGTTCATCAAGCAGTTTAGGTTCATCTGCAAGTGCTTCTTCTGCTACTTCCATTGATCAATCTGGAGATGAAAATGCTCCTCTTTGGGGCTATGTTACAAAATTAGTCAAAAGGGGGGAAGGAGGAAGTGGTAATACAACATTGAAATGTAATTTTTGTAACATTGAGTACCAAGGGTCATATTCTAGAGTTAGAGCCCATTTGTTGCTACTTAGGGTCCGTTTGGGAAGGGCTTTTCCGGGCTTTTTTGGCTATTTTAGCTAGAAAAAACAAAATAGGCTATTTTAGCCACAAAAAAACAAAACATCACATCCAACTCATAATCATTACACTTTTCTCTCACAAAAAAAGTCAAAAAAGCCAAAAAGCCCTTCCCAAACCAAGCTTTTTAACCCAGGCTAAAATAGCCAAAAAGCCAAAAAACCAACCCACTTCCCAAACGGAGGCTTACTAGTCATGGAATTAGAGTGTGTGCAATTGTGAAGGACAAAGAGCGATCTTCTTTCTGAAATTCGAAAGGCAGATCAAGAAGCTGAGAACTGGAAAAAGATGGCAAAGCCAAAAAATGATCCTTTACCACCTCCATCTTCTCAAATTAGTACTAGCCACGGCGGTGTAGGAGATGTTGGAACATTTAGATTGAAAGGTTATGCACCAAGAAAGAGAAAGGCAATTGGGAGTAGTCCTTTAGATAAGGCATTCAATCAAAGTGCCAAAGAACATATACATTATTTAATTGCTCATATGTTCTATTCAGCTAGTTTGCCTTTCCATTTGGCTAGGAATCCATACTTTGTGGGTGCTTTTCAATATGCTGCTGAGAATCAAATTATTGGGTATGTCCCCTAGATATAATTTGTTGAGGACTACTTTACTTCAAAAAGAAATGGCAAATATTGAAAGATTATTGGAACCAACTAAAAAGTCATGGGATGAGAAGGGATTGAGTATAGTATCTGATGGATGGACTGATGCACAAAGGAGGCCTCTTATTAATTTTATGGCAGCATCTAATGGTGGAGCTATGTTTACAAAAGTTGTTAATTGTGAGAGTGAGACCAAGGACAAGTATCATATTGTCAAATTAATTAGTGAAGTGATTGATGAAGTGGGCCCGCATAATGTGCCTCAAGTAATTACTGACTGTAAAATTTAATGTATAAAGAAAAATAGAGAGAGAATAAATTGTATGTATTATTGATTGATTTATATTGATATCTATTACAATGATTCATGATTCCTATATATAGAAGAGGGTGAGTGTGTAGTAGGTAAGGAGTAGGTGAAGTGGAGGTGGTAGTGGTGTAGTGGGTTAGGTTTAGTGGAGTAGGTGAGGTGGTAGTGGTGTAGTGGGTTAGGTTTAGTGGAGTAGGTTTAAGTGGGTGAAGTAGGTGGAGAGTGGGTGAAGTAGTGGGTTAGGTTTAGTGGAGTAGGTTTAAGTGGGTGAAGTAGGTGGAGAGTAGGTGGATTTTAACACTGACAATGCTCCTGTTTGTAGTGCAACCGGATCAATAATTCAAGGTAATTATCCGAAGATCTTTTGGACACCTTGTGTAGTGCACACTCTTAATCTTGCTCTTAAAAACATTTGTGCTGCAAAGGAAATTGGAGTTGCTGCATATGCTTATGATGAATGCCATTGGATCACTACTGTGATTGATGATGTAATGTTTGTGAAAAATTTCATTATGAATCATTCTATGAGATTAGCTATTTTTAATAAGTTTGTACTTTTGAAGCTACTTTCTGTTGCAGATACACGCTTTGCATCTGCAATTGTTATGCTGAAAAGGCTTAAACTTATATATCGTGGTCTCCAAACAATGGTGATAAGTGAGAAATGAGCTTCCTACAAGGAAGATGATGTTGGGAAAGTAGCTGTTGTAAAGGAAAAGTTGTTGAATGATATTTGGTGGGACAAGATTGAATATATACTCTCATTCACATTACCTATTTATGAGATGCTCAGATTTTGTGACACTGATAAGCCATGTCTACATTTGGTTTATGAGATGTGGGATTCAATGATTGAACGGATGAAGGCATCCATCTATAGGCGTGAAGGGAAGTCAGAAAATGAAGAGTTGTCCTTTTACTCTGTAGTGCATTAAATATTAGTGGAAAGGTGCACAAAAAGTAGCACACCTCTTCATTATCTTGCTCATTCTTTGAATCCAAGGTATAATTCACTTTCATTGCATAATTTACTTATTATTTTTTTCTAATTATGAAATCAAGGTATTATAGTGGGATGTAGCTCCATGAAAATCCCATTCGTGTTCCTCCTCACAAAGATGTTGAATTTCCTGAGACGAGAATCAAGTATTTTAAGAGATACTTTTTTGATTCAGATGAGAGAAGGGTTGTTAATACAGAGTATGCTAAGTTTTTACGTTGCTTAGAAAGTTTTGGAGACTCTGACTCAATATGTGATAGAAGAGTAATGGAACTAGTGGTTTGGTGGTTGGCACATGGCTCTTTTGCACCTATGCTCCAATCCTTGACAGTGAAATTACTTGGCCAACCATGTTCCTCATCATGTTGTGAAAGGAATTGGAGCACCTACTCTTTCATTCACTCCATGAAGAGGAATAAAATGACACAACAACGGTGCGAGGATTTGGTTTTTGTGCACTCCAATATTCGCCTCTTATCAAGGAGTCAACTATACACAGAAAGAGAGACCAAGTTATAGGACATTGGGGGAGATGCATTTGATTCATTGGAGGGTTCTGGTTTCCTTGAAATTGCAAATCTTTCACTTGATGAGCCAGAGATAGAAGCTATTTTATTCAATGATGAAGTTGATGGAAGTGAACTTTGAAGTGTCAAGTTTAGATACATAGGGCTTTCTTTTGTTTTTTTCTTTGCTTGCATTATGGATTGAATTGGCATTGTTGAATTGAAATATATTAATATTTGTCTTTTAGTTTTGTAATTCTCTTTTTAGTTTTGATATTTAATTTTAATTTGTAGGTTAGATCCTTTAACCATAATTATAAATAAAAATAAAAAATAAAAAAATATCGGCATACCACAGCCGTACCCGTATCATAGTTTTTTTGAGTTTTGCCGTATCGGCGTACCCGCACTCGTACCCACACCCATGCTTCCTAGGATGACAGTAATCCAAAGCATGCCCCTTCATGCACATTACTGCACCTTTCGTAAAACTTTTTCACATTACCCTCCCTAACATTGTTCATCCCTACAGTGTGCTATAAAATTTACAACATAATATGATAAAAATAGGTATTGTCTAGAGAACTTCTGCAACTAATTCTAGAAATCCTGCAACCTATATCTTTTGAGAATCAAGTCAAAACAAAATTTTTCCATCTAAAAAACCCGACAAGCCTTTTCCATCTTATAAAACCCTACAAAAGCAAGTTTCCATAATAGACAAAACCCACCACAAAATCCTCTCATAGGCAGCTCAGGACTTAGTTTCATAATATGTCCTACATCACCTTCATCATGCCAGAAGCAACTAGGCAGTAAATTAGCCTTCTATAATCATACAAAAATGTTACCTGATTACTTGATGTTGTAGTAAGCGTTGAGCTTTCTGCAGTGCCTGCTTCCAAGCAGATTCATCATTCCGTTTGTTCATAGATGGCGGTTCAAGTCCATATCGCGACATATCAAGTGGCACTGGAGGTTTCCCAGCTCTAACCCGCTCATACTCTCTGGCAAGCATTGGATGGTTCTGAAATATAAGTTCCAAAATAAGAGATGCTCCAACATGTTCTTCACCTCACATATTGTGTACTAACTAACCATTAGCATTAGCATTGACTAAAAGACCCAATTTCATACACCATTAAAATAAGTCAGCAAATCAAATCAGTAACTAAAAATCTAGTAGTCTTTGAAAATATTTCCTTTTCCAAATATGAGGCTTCCCAGCTTTGTAAGAAGACAATGCAGAGGAAATCATTATTTTCGAGTTTGGTTACTGTAGAAAACAATGTACAAAGAAAATAACGAATAAAATAAAAGCTGTGTTTGGATCATGGATTTGGAAAGGAAAAGCGAAATGTATCTTTCTATAATTCATTCACAATTCACCCACGTTTTTCCTTTTTTCCTTTCCAAACCCCTACCCAAATCAGTGATCCAAAGTAAATGTTTCATCCATCCTAGCACAGAAGAACTCTATGCAAACACAAATAAGGGCATCTCCAATCCTTGACTCAAACCCCTGTATCAAACTCAAAAAATTTGTATAAAAATCTCTATTTTGTGGCTCTCGTACATACGAAATTGAATTTTTAGCCAAATCAAGACATGCAAATTTTACTCAAAAAATTCCACATATTTTGTGGCTCTCAAATTTACACTTAAATCAAAGTTTGTCCATTGGAGGGATTCATATCAAATGTAAAATTTTAGTAGTAAAATTTAATTTTTTTGAGCATCGAATCGAAAAGGAGTAACTCATCAGCAAAACCTTAGAAAAGCGGAAACGCAGTGAGAATCTAAAAACAAAAACCCTAGCAACGCAATGTTTAGAGAGAACCTGGAAGTTGAAGCTGGGAAGAGGAGGGAGGTCGTTGAGGAAATCGGAGGGTTTCTTGGAGCTGCGACGCATCTCATCTTCGACCAATCGATCCACCTCTTCTTTGACTTTGGGGTAGCCGTAGTCGTCGTCGATGTAGGGCAAGGCGTCGATGATTTCAGCGCCGGTGGACCACCAAGGTCGACAAGCTTGTTCAGAAGAAGCTGGACGAGGTGGAGCTTCTAGCATTAGAATATCCCCATTGTTGTTCGTCATCGCAATTGTTGCTCGCTTCAGCTTCAGGGCTCAACTCAGCCGACGACCGTAGCTTCTTCTTGTATTGTGCTTGTGAGTCAGGGTAGCGGAGGATGAAGAAAGGGCAGTAGCTAGTTCATATGGAAAATCATATATCCCCTGAATGCTATATTTGCATAAGAAATTAGGGGGTAATTTGTTATGAAATATAAACCTCAGGGGGCAAATTGTTATGAAAATACAAACCTCAGGGGGCGGGATGTAATTTTCGAAACCTCAGGGGTATCTGTAATTTAGCCAAACCTCGAGGGGTGTATATGTAATTTGCCCTAAAAATTATTAATTAACTTGATAATTTATTAATAAAAAGATTTATTTGTTATGCAATTAAAAACTTTATGAGGTATAATGTAATTTCTAAAACTACAGAAGGTAATTTGTAATTTAAATAAATTTCAAGGGTGTATTTATAATTTATCCTATATACTACTAATAAAATAATAATGTTTGGCAGCTCTAATTCGAGAGCTCTAATATAACTCTAATGGTGGGTCTCTCACATGCTGATGTAATGTTTTGGTTTATTTTTTGTTTATTTATTTATTTATTTTTGTTTGACGCCTCATAAGAGTTTATGTTAGAGCTCTCTATCACTACTCATACATTTCTTAATGACTTGGTAATAAAAAAAAAACAACAAAAACAAAAGAATAAAGATTGAGAGTTCTAATTTTGAAATTCTATAGTAATGTGGTAAGGAGTGGAGTCTACATATAATATGATGTGTGTGTCTATATTTTTATTTATTTATTTATTTTCTTGTCACATTATTAGAGATCTCTTTAGATCTCTCTATCTATATTGAAAATAAAAACAAGACACAAATATCCCATATTTGTTTATAAGTATGGTTTGGCCCAATTGAAATTAAAATATATGCAAAATGTTGGTGGTCATTGAATGAGAAACACTACATACACATACAAAATGTTGGTGGCCCAAAATAGAACTCCCAATTTTTTTTTTCCTAATAAAAAATGCTAAAGTAGAAAAGAAAAAAATAAAAATGAATATAAGTAGGTAGATAATAAAAATAAAATGTAGAAAAATAGAAAATTAATCAGTGTATTTGGTTTCAATTGAGTTTTTTGTTAATATTTTTAAAATTTCAAACAAATTTTTTTTTTTACTTTTTTAGATATATGTTACATGTATCTAAAAAGTAAAATATTTATAAAAAAAATGAAAAAGTTAATAAATACACAAGAATATGAAAAATGTACTAAATTCTCATATATATATATATATTTGTATTTTTGGTATTTAGTGAATTTTTTTAAAAAAAATTCACAAATATTATACTTTTTAAATGTATTTAAGTTAGACGTATCTAAAAATTTACAAAATTACTTAGAATATTAAAAAAAATTAGTAAAAAAAAAATTTAATTTTCTAAAAAATAAATCCTAAAAATTCAAACCAAACAAGTTAAATATATATTTTTTTACTTGTATGGCCTTGTTTATCTTTTTTTTTTAAACCCTTTTCTTCTTAGTTGTCGACAACCTCCTTCTTTCCCCTAACCTCAGTACCATCATCTCTACTTTCACCTTCATCCATACTTCCCATGCCACCCCCACCATAGCAGTGGCATAGGAGGGAGACTAGTTAGTGGGCGAAAAAAGTTAGGAAAAGATAAATAAATTTTTGGTGTAATGGTGATGATTGTATAATGGGAGGAAAGAGATTGGACTGACAAAGGTAAAATTAGATCGTGATAAGTGATGGATTGAAAAATAAAAATGGAGTGACATAGAAAAATAAAGAGAATTAGTGGGATATTTTTGTAATTGCATGATAAATTTCACCAGTTAAGAGTAAAATTTTAAATTCTCCTTTTTTTGTTTTAAATTTATAATTATTCTCCAAACTTCACTTTTTAGTAGTTTTCCCCAACTTATATTGGATTTCAAATTGAGGATGTAACTTCTAATTAACTTTAAAAAACTAAAATAAATTATAAGTGCTTAAACAGCTGTAACTCTCCTTGTTTCATGAAAATGACATTTACACAGTTAAGAGTAAGATTACCAAAGGTAACATTGTAGCATGCCAACATTATAGTTTGAATTAACCACGGAAGATGCTCTTAATTTTCATCAAATTAATTGGGTTGATATTGTGCCCAAACAATGTGTGAGAGTAAAATAAACTAAAACGACAGACTTCATAACCCAACCCTAAAAAACCAAAAAATTATGTTTTGCCAAATTTAAAAAAAAAAAACATGTTTTCGAGGTCATGACTCATGATCAAGTAATTGAAGAAGATCGTATTTCTGTAACCATTATCCATTCCGCAAAAAACTGCCAAATTTGGCTAACAGGCAAACTATCCAAGTGCAAACTTGAATTAGATATTCTACATACCTCCAAATTTATAACATAGCAACAATCACTAAATTTCATTCATTCTAAATGGACCCATTATTGGAGACACTGCAAAATTGAATGTAAATGTTCTTGATTTAGGAACCAAGACCAGCATAGCGTGCTCCATTTGCATCCCAAAAATAAACAAACCTCCGCAACTTCAAATGTGCACACATTTTGCCCAAAGCCAATTAAACCTATTGCCAGCTCGAAAGCACACTTGCTTAATGACCAAGCCAAGTGGCACCAACCTAAAAATACAAAAGTGAAACCCTATTTGGCAAGTGAATTTTTGATTTTTTTTTTTTAGCTAAAATTTAAAAAAAGACAAAATAAGCTAAAATAACCAATAAGACAGAATGTCACAACAAACCCATAATCATTTCACTTTTCTTCTTACAAACATCATATACAACTACAAAAAAATCCAATCATCTTCCAAAACATAAAAAAATTTAGCCTATTAAAATAATCAAAAACTAATATAACCCATTAAAATAGCCAACTTCCCAAACGAGGCCATAGAAGAAATGTTACTTTCCGGCATGATCCTACTATATTCAAGAGGAGAACCTCCTATAAAGCAAGAATAGCTCACCATGGCCAAACAAATTAATGTTGGCAAGGCTCAAAATACATAATACAGTAAACAGTACCGGCAACAAATTACAATCTCACCGAACCATCTTCATCTTTTCATTTATTCCTGCTAAGCTGTTGAAACTTTGAAGGCCCAAACCTAAATCCTTTAAGATCAATGCCTCCATGGAAAGTGAAATTACAATCTAGCTCACTAACCTATGAGGTTGGCATGTTTGCATAAAGAAGAGTGAAAAATAGTTCAACTTCAGCTATGTTTCGGATTATCTGAATAAACCTGTTCTTGCTAGGTTCTTCAAGCAGTAGAGGGCTGAATTGTGCAATTCGAGGCAGAAGTTTGGCCAGTGGCATCCCTGACGACAAATTGCCTTCCCCCAATTGAACCTTAATATCTTCCATTAGTTCATCTACCACTGTTTTTAATGATATGTCAACAACATTCCCAAATTCGGCACTGCAAGGAACAAAAAACAACTAAGAAATCAATAGAAAGAAGAAGATACAAATTAGTTTTGGTTGTCTGATGTTTAGGGTTCCCACCTTTCAGAACAGGGTACGATAATATGATTAGGATGTATTTTGAAATAACTCCCCACAAATCACATAATCAAACAAAAATACAAAATTATAGCTAGCTTCACTATGAAATTTGTATATTACTTAAAAAGGACAATCCAATGCATGAGGCTTCTGCTAAAGTGGGCTTTAAGAAGGGCAAGATGTATGCGACATGTAGAGGTGGTTTACGTGACTTGAACTCACACCACCAAGAATGCTAATGGCACAAGCCTTACAATTGGACCAAACCGTCCTTTCTTGTATATCACTTATCAAATATATACATATATGAAACTCGTATATCGCCTTCTTGTGACGCCTACTATTTCAGCATAATAACCTCAAACAGATTTAGCAAGAAAAGTTCTAGGGGAAATTTTGGTATTTATTTACTAGCAATAATTCACCTTCATATTTGCTTCAGAAAATAATATAATATCAAAGGTCAGGTTTGTACTCAGTCCATCCATCCTGGTGCTCTCACTTAATGGAAACCAGTACTGGGAATGACCTTTTATCATTTTCCTACTATAAATGAAATCTAATATAGGGTAGAAAGGTAATTACATCTTCCTTGAGTTGTTTCCAAGCACATAATTGAAAGAGGGTAACATGGTTGTACATAAACTTGAAACAAATCAAGTTGTCTCACGTGGTTCATTGTGCTGGGTTTCAAACAAAGATATTTCTTAAACAGTCTACACCCAAGCTTGAAATTTGCACTCATAATGGAGTTATACATTTACCCTTTCAACTAAACCTAATATTTCGCAATTGTTGGAACTTGGAACAGAAAGAAAATGATAGTACCTGGATAACACTGCATGTGTCTCCACCATGAGTTGGTCAAATGTGGTGCCATCAGAAAGATCTGGGTTGCCATTGTTGGAGAATGCAACAAGTTTGTAGGATCTAGCATCCTCTGGCATTAAATAGTCCACCCAGTGATGAGGGCTTCGCATGCTCATGAACACATCTAATATCTGTGTAATGGTTTCATGAAGAACAGTGGTGTTGAACAAATCCTTCAACTGCTTTCTGCATATGGAAAGTTTATGAACATTTTTAAAAGATCTGAGATGGTTGATTGATAATTTCCCATAAAAATGGAAAAGAAAAATAAAAAAAAAGGCTTGAGATAGTTGATTGAGGGCAGCAACTTTGTACAAATAATGCCAAAGGCATCTGTACCCAATTTGCTCCTCCCATACCCCCATCCAATGAGGAATAAATTGGGTGCACTTTTTTCTTTTTTAATTGATAATCCCATGCAGTTTTAAAAATTATAGTATAGGGAGAAAAAAAACTTCAGGCGTTATTACCAACAGAGCTAGTATCTACAAGAATAAGAGTTGAATTTGCCATCTCACCCCTAAATGTTTTGCCAAGAGTTCTCGAAACTCATTTTTCAAAAGCTTATTCAGTCGTGCGGGTTGCAATGCAGGGAGCTTGGGTATAGGGTGTTCTAATTGGATGGTTCCAACAATGCTTTGTTAGAGCATCAGGAAGAAAGTAATATTTTGCATTTTTCATTATGCAGTTTCTTCGAAGCTGAGATTTTTAGGAGGGACATCTACATCATAGAACTCATTGGCATTGATGGCATTAAAAGATTTCCATTAATGGAAATCCAATAGTATTGAAATCTGCAGAGACACCTTACTCATAGCTGGCAGGTAAGGTGTGGAAACTCATTTATGGAACTAACTTGGTTAGCTTTGTTGATCAAAACTTAAGGAGCTTGTCTCAAGAGGGTTTTAAAGTTCCATTCACCTCTCTCTCCACACACACACACACATACATACACGTGTCTTTTCACCAGAGTCCGAAAGAATAGTAAAATCACATTTTGTTGTATAGATTCTTGACTTTCACAAAGACAAAAATAATACTGATAAGGTCACCATTGATGGTAAATTATGAAGATATTCATATGCCATATTTTACAACAGAAACAAATGCCTTACCCCTTGAGTACTTCAGACGCTGCTGCCTGCATATTAGAAATCAAAGTCGGCAAGCCGTAATTTGAAAGAAAATCAGCACTTGCCAGAAACTGCTGCTGATCATTTCTATCAATTAGATCAGCTTCCTCCTATAAGAACAAGAATTTTTTTTGTGTGGTAAATTCCTATAAGAACAAGAATTAAAGGGGACTAATTTCAGAGAAGAAATAAAATATCAGGGCCCACAGAAAATTGTTAAAAAGGTGAGATGGGAGAATTGTAGGGACATTAGTGATGCTTTTCCCTTATTGTTTCTTATTCTAGCTAATCACATCATATTTAAGTAGGAATGCATATCAACTGCACTGAAATTTTCACTCTCATTTCTTAGTCACTATAATGTAAGGAGATCACAAAAATAAATTCAAATTCAACTCAAAAAAATGTTTGAGAGCCCTAAAAAAGTCCTCCAATTTGACACAATGATGTGACATGTTAGGTGTCAACTTTTGATTTGTTCCACACCCAAATATATAAGCCCCAACTCCCTTGTCACATCATTGTGGGTGTGTTTCGGGGTCTAAATTGTGAGTCTCTAGCATTTCTCTTCAACTCACTTCTCAGTTCCGGTGTGAGACACATACCACTATGATTGTGCCATAAAAGAATTTGAGGCTTGCAATGAAAGCCATTCAAAATTTCTATGGTACACTTTGGGATGCTTCCATAGAACTCAGCCAAGCAAACCACAAGCAGAGAGGTTGACATTTGATCTTGGTTTCAGGAAAAGAAATATATATATATATATATAGAGAGAGAGAGAGAGAGACAGATGAAAAAAAGACAAAAGACACATAACCAAACTCTTCAACAATACTATAGAGTGGCAATTTTAATTGAATTTTGGGTCAATTACATTTTACCCACTTGTGGTTTAACCCAAAAACACACCACATTTCTGAGATTTACAAATGTGCACATAGCCCTGGTAAAGTGAAAAATTAATTGAATCCATCAAAGATAACAGTGCGTGTTAAACACGCACTTGTTTCTGAATGGAGATTAATCAAAATAGCCTATGAAAATGATGACTATGCCCCTATGAAGCACAGGTATTCCAAAAATGGTGCCATACGAGTACCGGGTACTTACCAATGCGGGTACACATACCGGATACGGCGAATATATGCCGGGTACGACAAATATGTTTGGGTACACTGTGGGTATGGGCGAGGGTTTTTTTTTTGTTTTTTGTTTTTGTTTGCAGCTGCTAGAATTTGTTGCACTCTATTATTCTTCTTTCAAGTTCGAAAATCATCAAGTAATATAGTTCCAACACCCTTTATCCATGAGTCATGGTTTTGCTCTTTTTTGCATTGCAGCTGCTAGAATTTGTTGCAGCCTTTATTATTTTTCTTTCAAGTTCGAAAATCATCAAGTAATATATTTCCAACACCCTTTATTCATGAGTAATGGTTTTGCTCTCTTTTACATCATGTTTTAGACAATTAAAAAAAAAGAATTATATAATTTTTTAGACAAACTGTAATCTTTTTAGTTTTGATATTGAAACTTTGATTTATATGTTGGATGTTTAGCTATAAAAAAATAAAATAAATAAAATTACACGTACCTATATCCATACCCTACTTTTTTAAGAATTTGCCGTATCTGCATACCCGTAACATATCCGTACTCATATCTGTATCCATACCCGCACCCGTGCTTCATAGCTATGCCCTTATCGTCAACCTAAGAGCCCAACCACCCAAGGTCCAAGATCTCTGTTGGCCGCCTCTATGGCAGCCATCATTACCACAACACCTCCTTCATGGCAGTACCTGTTGGGAAAAAATGATTTTTTTGGTTTGAGAATTGAATGAAAATTGTCTCGTAATGTTGGCATCATGAATGAGAGATTGAGAAGGATGATTGAGCATTTTACACATGGCCTAACCATGAGGGACACATGGCTTTAATAGTGTCTTAGACCATGAGGGACACATGGCTTTAATAGTGTCTTAGACCATGAGACACACATGGCCTAACCATGAGGGGCACTTGGTTTTGGAAGCCATGAGGTACGCATGGCCTTGCCATTTGGCATGCCAAAGATGCCTATATAAAGGCATGCTCAACATTGTGAATATTATCACAAACATAAGCTAAGTTCTCTCCTCCTCTTTTTCTCATTGTGTATAAAAAGAGACCATTCTCATTGGTTAGAGTACAAAAATTTTTGCTCTCATATTATAGTCAGTCTGCTCCTGTAATATATTCTTCCTGTGTGAGAGAGTGCTACCATTGTCAGTTCGCCGGAGCTAAGCAAAAGGTCCTTCTATGTTAGCGGGTTCTAAACCGTCGTATCATGAAAGATAGAAGGCGACATACCTGCAACACCCACGGTGAGGCGGCGAATCTGTTTTAAGGAGACTGTGGTATTACACAAGTTTCGATTTGCTTTCTTTTCTCATTTCAATATTTTAATTTGTTATATGTATTTCTATTCATTAAGATGCAATTTCCCATAAATTCTTGTTATGTGGTTTTTCCAATTTAATTTATCATGAATCTATTTCTTTTATTTAATTCACACAATTTGTACAATAATCTTAAAACAGATTCTATGTTTCTCATGAAATTAACAAATAGATTCATATGTAATTAGAATTATACACTCTTTTTTTACCTTCTCCTAGTATTTAGGATAGAAAATAGTTTGATGCTAGTCTGATAGATTGTTTTCCCTAGGAGTTTTGCTCACTGTATGGTCTATGTATATGCATAATAGTTGTTTGTTATTATAAAATATTAAATCAGACTTGCACTACTATGTTTATTTTCTGGAAAACCGAACTTGTGTTTTGTTATTCCTAAAAATAGAAACCATTCCGTAGTCCACTGTTTCCCACCTGGAATTCATATTTATGTTATTCTGCTAATGTCTATAGATTTGAATTTCATATTTATGCTAGCTAATGTTGTTTCCATCCAGTCAACTATTCCAATTTATTTAAGTGAATAAATATATTTTTCATGGTGTCTAGTTCTAGAATAAGTATATCTCATGGGTATGATTCTTAGTTTTCTATCATGTTTTGCATGCTTTTATAACATAATTTGCATGCTCATGAGTGTTTCAAATTCACAAATTTATTATTTCCTAAATTTTAAAGATAATTTGCCTGTTCTTTATTTTCTATATTTTAATTTATGTTACATGCTTATTATTTGTATAGTTATTTGCATGATTTTGTTTCTAGAATTAGTTACATGTTTATTGTGTAACTTGTAAAGCCTTTTAATTCTTTACTTTATTTTGCTATTAAGTAGATTGCTAGGAGGTTTAAAATAATTTATTACTTTTATAGTTTCATTCAATTATTTGCTTTGTATTTTATTGTGTTTTTCTGCTAACTTTTTTTACAGGAATACTTATAAGGATGGCAATTTGAAACAGACCCGACGGGACCCGACCCCGATTGGAACGGTTTTTTCCCGAAAAATACCCCCGACGGGCCGGGGATGGTATTTAAAAATAAATCCCCGACCATTTTCGGGCCGGGGACGGTGATATGTTTTACAACCCGGTTCCCCAATATGAAATTACCATTGTACCCCTGCCTATATATATATATATGTTTTCTCTCTTTCTTTTCTTATTTCAGGGTTAGAGACACTGAGTCTGAGACACACACATCGCACTCTCTCGCCTCCTCCTTTACATCGCTTGGTTGCCTCCTCTACTCCGTCGCTTGGTCGCTCCCTACCCCGTCGCCTCCTCCTCCTGCGCCGTCGCCTCCTCTTCCGACAGATCTGAGCAGATCCCCACTGTTTGAGGTTGATGATGTTGATATATACATATATATACAGTTGATTTTGATTCTTATCAATAATCTTTGTTTGTTGTTGATATGTACAATATATATTATATATATATTGTTGATAATCTTTGCTGTTGATTTTGATTCTTGTTGATATATAGTTGTTGATATAATCTCTATCTGTTTGTTGTTGTTGATGTTGATGTTGATGAGATGAAACAAATCGATCTTAATCTCTGTTTTTTTTTTTTTTTTGGCCGGGGGTTTTTTCTTTTCTTCTTAGCTTGTTGTTGAGGCTGCATCTTTTGCTCTCTGGTTTCGAGGCCAGGGACGGGAAAATTTTTACCATCGGGAATTGGGGACGAGAAGTATGATCCCCGGCCCCGCCCTGGCCCGTTGCCATTCCTAAATACTTATGTGAAAGAGAATGAAAAACAAAAAATTAAAAAACCAAATGAATACAATTTGGGACTGTAAAACCAAAAGTTTTGGACTACTAACATTTTTGTTGAATAGAAATACCTACGTGTGAAAAGGAATTTTGGACCAAATAGAATCCTTATGGATTGCTTATTTTTCTTTACAATTGAAGCAATTTTTTGCTTGAGCTTTAGTTGTGATTAATTTACCAATATGTTAAAGCAAGTTTGTTTGTTTGTAATGTTTTGAAACCATTTTATTTGCTTGAAATTGTTGTAGCAATTTTTAATTGCTTGTAATTTGATTAGCAATTTTTAATTGTTTGTAAGTTTTAGAACTTGATTTGTTTTAACCTAGTTTATCCCATGAAAAACTTAATTCTAAATTTGTTCCCCATGGATTAGAAGTTAACATGCTCTTGAAAGTTTTGTCAAAAGTTAACTGGGTTTTAAGTTGGACCGGTGTGACCCCTCCAGTATTTCTGGAAACTTTCCTTACCCTGTTTGATTCTGGAGTACGTGGTGAGACTAGTTTTGAATTAAATTTTTGATTTTAGGATTTTCTCATGTTACGTTTAGTTTTTGGAAACATAGAATAGTGAAATTCTGTTGTATTTTTCAGAAATGGAAATTGTAATTGCTACTGCTGTGCTACTGCTAATGTTGGTGGGGATATGAACCTTGGGCCAACTGACTTGCCAACCCCTGTTGTGACCTCTATGGTCAATCTTGCTATGACCTCTGTGGTCAATCTTTTTGCTACTTTTTCTATTCCAAGGGGACTGCTCAACCATCATGAGCACAAAGAGAAGTTCGTTGGAGTGAATTTCAAGAGGTGGCAGCAAAAGATATTCTACCTGACTAATCTCAACCTTGCAAAGTTTTTGAATGAGGATTCACCAGCCA